CTTAGGATAGTCATCTGCCATCGATTAAGTTCACTTATAATTACATTTTTCATTCTAGCATTGGAATGACACCATATAAAGCATTATACTGTCAGGGGTGTAGGACACCTCTGTGTTGGTATGAATCTTGTAAGTGTTGTACTTGGAGTAGATATTGTTTAGCTGACTACTAAGAAGGTGAAGTTGATCCCAGATACAATAAAAGCACCACAAAGTAAGAAAAAAATCTACCATGATAAGAGAAGGAAAGCTCTAGAATTTAGGGAGGGTAATCATGTGTTCATAAGAGTCAATCCTGTGACTTATGTTGGGTGTGCATTGAAATCAAAGAAGTTTACTCCTAAGTTTATCGGTTCGTATCAGATTTCTCAAAGAATTGGAACCATGGCTTATAGACCTGCATTACCAACCGATATTTAGAATTTGCATGACATGTTCCATGTGTCACAACTTTGAAAGTATATTCATGATTTGTCTAATGTGATTCAGATGGATGGTGTGCAAGAGAGAGACAACCTTACGGTAGAAGCATTTCCTGTGAGGATTGATGACAAAAAGTTGAAGAAGCTGAGGGGCAATGAGATTGCTCTAGTGAAAGTTGTATGAGGAGGAACTGTTGGAGGAAATATGACTTGGGAGCTAGAGAGCCGGATGTGAGAAGTATATCTGGAGTTGTTTGTATCAGACAAATTTTCAAGGAAGAACATATTCTAAGTGATGGAGAGTTGTAACACCCCATTTGAATGATCTAATTCTATAACATTATTTAATTGTATTGTATATATTTTGAATGATTGAGGTAGTAGGGGAACCTTGAGTATGAGATAATAACACTAAAATATTAGAATTTTAAGTGAGGGGTGTGGTAGTAATTAACGAGAAATAAGGGGTGTTGGGCACAATGAGATTAATAGTATTACTATTAGATTTAATTAAATTAATTTAGTAGTAATAATAAGTAAGTTAATATTTATTTAAAATAATAATAATAATATAGAGATAATGTTGCTTTTATTATTATTTTATTGGGTAGTTGGCCTAATGATATGATTTAGAAAATATAATATATATAGAGATATTATTATTAGTATTTGATTTTTTTAGTTTGATTTAATATAATAATAATAATAATAATAATAATAATAATAATAATAATAATAATAATAATAATAATAATAATAATAATAATAATAATAATAATAATAATAAGATTTAAAAACAAATTAAAAATAAGAGATTTAGTTGGTCTACTTATAAGAAGGTGAAGACAGAACAAAGAATGGGGAGTGTACATGAAAGAATTAGAAAAAAGGAGAGTTAAGGCAAGAGACAAGGGTAGGAAGAAGAAGACCGCCATTGTATACGAACTTGAAGCTTAAAATTCTAAGGTAAGGGGGGGGGGGGGTGGTGAAACTATTACTATAAGGGTGTCTAATCATGAGAGGATAGTTAGGGGTCCTTACCCTCTTAGGTGTTAGAGAGAGATTTTCACTAGGGAGCATTGAACATTATGGGACTTTCCTTTCTTTAGAGCAACACCTTTGTGAGAGACACACCAATACTCACCCAAAACCTTAAGGTGACAGGTGCGTGAGTTCTCCCACTTATAAATGCTCAAGTCACCATATTCCTATCCAATGTAAGACTACTATCCATATTACTCATACTTGTTATACTTAACACTTCCCCTTAAGTGTGAGTCTATCCACAATGCTTCCATTATGCTCCCCCTTAAGCGGAAGCTTCAACTACGCAACTGCATTTTCTGTTGTGTGTTTCTTGCTGACCACCCTGTATCACCGTTGACACTCTTCAACGGGACACCTCCTAACCACCACATGTAGGGAGTACTTTCGATACAAGTGAGCAGGTCCTTCACTCGAACCAAAGGCTCATGATACCACTGTTAGGGGAGATTTTCACTAGAGATCATTGAACATTGTGGGAGTATATAGTGTGTCTTTCACAAAGGTGTTGTTCTAAAAAAAAGTTCCACAATATTCAATACTCTCTAGTGAAAATCTTCCTCTAACAGTGGTATCATGAGCCTTTGGTTCGAAGAAAAGGGACCGACTTACTTGTATCGAAAGTATCCCCACAAGTCGTGGGTTGAGTGTCTCGTTGAAGAGTGTCAACAAAGGTACAAGGGTGTAGTTGCACTCTTGAAGCTTCCACTTAAGGGGGGGCATTGTAGAAGCATTGTGGATAGACTCACACTTGAGGGGGAGTGTTAAGTATTAACAAGTGTGAGTAGTGTGGATAATAGTCCCACATTGGACAGGAACGTGGTGACTTGAGCATTTATAAGTGAGAGAACCCATACACCTATCACCTTAAGGTTTTAGGTGAGTATGTGGTGTGTCTCTCACAAAAGTGTTGCTCTCAAAAGGAAAGTTCCACAATGTTCAATGCTCCCTAGTGAAAATCTTCCCCTAACATTAGGTTGGTCTTATGCCATGTTATGATTGTTGTTGATCTATGACCATGATTGTGAGGAATGAATTGTAATTATTGTGGCTATAACAATTGATATTTGTTGATGATAAATTTTGAATTGTTGATAAATTTTATGTTTGTTGTACGTTAAGGGTTTAAGATGATGATTACGATGATGATAAGGTATGTAATTGTGAATTTATTGATGTGATTATATGAATATGAGTGATGATTGATATTGGTATCTTTACGATTGAGTTTAAAACCATGGAATATTTTTGGTGATCATTTCATGGACGTTTTTGGGGTTGAAGAAGATGAAAATCGTGATGGAAATTTCAGAAAAACAACAACTTTTTAGTAACCCCTTCATCCACAGTTTTGATCATAACTTTCAAGTCGTAAATAATTTTGGGATGGGGTTTAAAGGTCATAAATTTGTTTCAGGGATAAAATAATTTTGGTGATGATTTCTTGGACGTTTTTGGGGTTGAAGAAGATGAAAATTGTGTTGTAAATTTCAGAAAAACAACAATTTTTTAGTAATGCCTTCGTGCACGGTTTTGACCATAAGTTTCAAATCGTAAATCATTTTGGAATGAGGTTTGAAGCGTTGGATAACTTAAACAGATAAATATAACTTTATTTTAGGGATAAAATATTTTTAACGATTTTATCATAGGATGGTAGCAAGTGAGAAATAAGTGTATGAGGTGACGAATATGGACGAGGTCTGTATTGACAAATTATTTGATGTGTTATAAATGATTGGATTAGCGTGTTTAATTATAATGGTGGTAGTCTAGAACGGTGAATTACGTTAAGTATGGTTGCAATTATGTGATCGATTGTGGATCACTAAATATTATTATAACTGCATTATTACCATGCTACGCATTCATTGTTGATATGTTGAAGGAGATAGGTCATAAGTCCGAAGGGGAATGAAAAAATTATTCAAAACATTGAAGGGGGAATCAGGTTCATATGATGGACCATTGATGAGAGTTCGTACCACATGCATCGTGTAATATTGTCGGGTCTCATTGCATTGTAATTATGTTGTTCTTGTGCATATGTTTTGATGAGAATGTAAGCGTATGTGATTTTTGTGTATAAATACTACTTTCTTAACTATTCTACACTATTTATTACATGAATGGATTTCTCACCCTTTTTGTGTTTGTTGTGTTTGTGCTCCCTCGGAGTATAGACAATTAGGTACTTGAGTAGTAGAAGATTTACCTCATGTTGCTATCAGTTGAGTCTACTAATACGTAACATTGAAGAAATACTATTTTCTTTATGCTATTCTGTTATGTATCTTTTAATTTAAAGTAATTATTGAACCATTTTTGGTGTGAGTGGTTTGTTGAGGCTATGAATGTCATATTTTTGTTTAAGTTCGTTGTTTGAACTATAATTTTTGATTAAATGAAGTAACATTTAAACTTCTTGGATTGTGAAATAACATCCTGCTAAAGTAGAATTATATTTTATTTATTAATTATTGAGTCGAAAAATAAAGTGTTACATCATCGATTTTCTACCATGTGTTTGACAATCTCTTCAACGCTCAATACATAAATCACACAAACTTAAAGTATTTCCATGTGTTTTCAATCCCCTTAAATACCTAAAAAATTCTTTAATTTCTTAGTCATTAATTCTAAAAATCTCTCCTTTTGTTTTTCTGAATTTCTCCCACTACAATTTCACTAATTCTTCCCTTATACCAACAAAAGAGCTAGAAAACCATTTAAAAGATTTCAGACAAAACACATCATATTACTCCCAAACTCAATGTGTACTCGCGAACAAAAAATGAGAATTTCAAAACAATCTCTACAAAAATCTATATATTTTAGAACACTAAGAGAGTTTTTTTATAAACTTTGAAAACTTTCAATGGATATCAACAGACTTTATTGCTTTGTAAAAAAACCGTGATTGTCTTAAGTAAATAGCAAAAGATATATTCAAAATTTTAAAATTTTAAATTGAATGCTAAAATCTTTTATCATATAAAGGTTTTTAAAAATAGTTTTAAAATCTCAATCCAATACCCAAATACTAAATAGTTTAGATGATTACTTCTTCGACTTTTTCATCTATTCGTTAAAATTTTAATAAAAAACAAATATTATTTTATAAAAACTGCTTAAATTATGAAGTTGTTTTTGAATGGATTATTTAAAAAAGAATTATAGATTAAAAAAAGCATTTTTAATTTAATAAATACACATAAAAACTTGAACTTCTTATTTATAAAATAAAATAAAATAAGGTGGTGCAAAACAAATGTGATAACAAATGTGCTCATAGATAACCCGGCCCATATATTTAGCCCAAAGAAAAACCCTAAGAAGGAGAACTTAAACCAGAAATCGCCGAGAATTGCCTCCATCTTCTTCCTCCTGCAGCTGTGAAGAAACCAGAGCCAGCCGCATTTCTCAAGGTATTTCTGTTTCCTAACCGTTGCATATTCCTCTAGAATTTTCATCCATACTTATTCAATCACTGTATGATTTTCAATTGCGTTTACAGTAACAAGGGGAAACAAAATGGCTTACGCTGCACCGAAACCCACTAAACCTGGATTGGAAGAATCTCAAGAGCAGATCCATAAAATTAGGATTACTCTTTCTTCCAAACATGTTCAGAATCTCGAGAAGGGTATGATTTTTTTTTTTTTACTCAAATTGTTTCAAACCCTAGTAAAATTGTTTTTTTATTAAGAATTTTGATTTATGATCAACTCATTTGTGTTTGTTTGTTATGATAGTTTGCAGTGACTTGGTTCGTGGTGCTAAGGATAAGCGGCTTAGGGTTAAGGGACCAGTGAGGATGCCAACCAAGGTCCTTCACATTACCACCAGGAAATCACCCTGTGGAGAAGGTAGTTTTTTATTTCAATTTTGTATTCATGTTCTTAATTTGTGAAGATTTTCAACAATAGCTAAATCTTTAATTTGTGTATTCAGAACATTAGAACAACATTTGACAGCCTGAATTTCAGTTTTGGAATTTAGTATTTTCATATAAATCAGAATATGTTCTGATTCTGAATCCAATGGTGATTGCACCTTGTGGTTGGTTACACATGTTTCTTAGGAAGTTTGTTATACACGTATCAAACCGGGTTGTGCTTTGCCTTCGTTATACATGTTGATTTGGAAGTTTGTTGAACATGTTTCAAACCGGGTTGTGCTTTGCCTTCTTTACACATGTTTCTTAGGAAGTTTGTTATACACGTATCAAACCGGGTTGTGCTTTGCCTTCGTTATACATGTTGATTTGGAAGTTTGTTGAACATGTTTCAAACCGGGTTGTGCTTTGCCTTCTTTACACATGTTTCTTAGGAAGTTTGTTATACACGTATCAAACCGGGTTGTGCTTTGCCTTCGTTATACATGTTGATTTGGAAGTTTGTTGAACATGTTTCAAACCGGGTTGTGCTTTGCCTTCTTTATACATGTTGCTTTGGAAGTTCGTTGAACATGTTTCAAACCAGGTTGTGCTTTGCCTTCGTTATACATGTTGCTTCGGAAGTTCGTTGAACATGTTTCAAACTGGGTTCTGCTTTGCCTTAGTTACACAAATCGTGGTTGTATATTATTAACTGTTTATTTGCCATGTTTGTATGGTACTGAATCTTATATCAGAAGAGCTTTATTTGCACGTATGTTTGTATAATATTTATTTGCACCCTTAAAGTAGAAATTGCGAGGAGGGTTTAGGGAAGCCTCTTCATAGACTATTTCATTACACCATATGCTGAAGTCATATAATCTGTTATGTTATTATCAGTAAATTTGTTATTAGTTTATAAGTTTTGTACCCTGGGCCTCTTTACTGGGTACTCCAATTGTATACATTCATTCTAAATAGGCCATTTGAAATACTCTCTTTACTGGGTACTCCAATTGTCATCATCCGACAAATCTCTGTTTCATTTTGATTCAATGATAATGTGGGTATTTTATGATTGAAAATAAAGTCTAAACATACTTTTCTAATGCCCGCTTGTTGTTGCACTTCATTTGTCATGAAAATGTCAATGCCTAGCTGAATATGGTATTTTTTTTTTATTTCAGATGAATTTTAGAATGCGCTGTGCTAATGATTTGTTTCATGTTTAAGGTACAAACACATGGGACAGGTTTGAGCTGCGTGTGCACAAGAGAGTCATTGACCTCTACAGTTCACCTGATGTGGTCAAGCAGATTACCTCCATCACCATTGAACCCGGTGTTGAAGTTGAGGTTACCATTGCCGATGCTTGATTTTGCCATTGATGTTTTTTGTTTATGCATTCTAGTTTTATTTGTAATTTTGCCTCATAGCTAGGAGGAATGTATTATGTTAAAAAATTTTGAAGTTGATTATTTATGTTAGGAGCTAGACTTCTGTTTATCTTGTCTTTTGGTTGAAATACCATTAGAAATGTCATATGCCTACAAATTATTTTCTATTAAATATTTTTAAATTAGTGATATAATAAGTAAAATGTTTTAGTAGTTAAAGAATTAAGATAGTTTTCTATTGAGTAATGTCCGCAGAAATATTGCGGCAGTTAGGAGTGATTAGTAGTGAATTTTACTTTTCATGGTATTCTATTGTGTTACGTTTAAGTTTTTGTAGGAAGTTCCCACGTGCTATTCTCTGAAGTTAGAAGATTAGTAGTGAATTTTACTGCTATTCTCTGAAGTTCCCATGCTTACTATGCGATATTTAAGTTTTCTTTGGTTAAACAGGGAACATGCTAATGTAATTTCTTTTATGGGCCTCTTAGTTTTAATTTCAAAAATAAAAAACACATAAAAAGTAATAATATTTATTAGCTTATGGCTTATAAACTCCTGGTAATATAGGACTTTGTTTAGTAACAGTATTTTTATCTGTGTTTATCATTTCTTTTTCATTTTTGTTCTTAATATTTTAACTAAAATTCAATATTATCTTTTATAATTTATTTTAATTTAAATAAATCAATTGTATGTTCAATATTTTTTATGTCATTTTAATTTATCAAAATTGTTAATTTTACTAAATATTTTAATTAATTTATTAGTTATAAGTCATCAATTATTAACTATGAATTATTGGCTATAAAATTATTAACTATAAATTATAGTCTTAAACTATCAGCCAAACAAACTATCTGTTGTTTTTAATTGGTTTTTCCAAGTTGGCAAATGTAACTATTAATAAATTAATATTAAAACTAGTTAATTGATTTTTTCAAGCTGGCAAATTTAACAATTAATAGATTAATATTAAAATTAACAATGTTACGATGGTTTCTTTTTTATTTTTCAATTTTAATTGCTTATAAATGATTTATTTATAAAATTTATTTTATATTAATTTTATTTTAACAATATATTAATAATTTTATAGAATTTTAGTTTAGTTAGATTTATTTATATATTTTAGAAATTAATTGGAATACATTAGTGTATATTTACTTTACAGTGTCATCTAATTAAAGAGTTATTTTGATACTATGAGAGAAATATTTATTAGAACACCTCATTTTATTTTACAGTGTCATCTAACTAAAGAGTTATTCTCTCATCTCAATACCGCTTCCATTTCTTCATTCAAACACCTCATTTTATATCTTTATCTCTATTTCAGTTTTCTCCTCTAATACTATTTCCTTCATTTATTATGGTCAAAATCCATAGAAATATGTTTTTTAACAACACAAACCTATCATTTGCTTGTCATTTCAAATCCTAATATATGCATAAAAATATAAACTCAGATAGAAAAACGCAAGTTTTTATTTATAAGCGGAATGGAAATTTTAAACTTTGTAGTAAATAGGTTAAAAAATTATTGATTTTGTTTACCCAGAAAATAAAAACAAAAGTTATTTAGAAAATACAACATGAGTATGATTGTTAAGAGGTGAAAGAGAGTGGTGAGAGATTATGCAAAAACGATGAAAACGTCAACAGTGAAAAAAAAAAATTCAAGGTTGTGTTTGAATCTGGTGAGGTATGTCATTGGAGCACAAAACATATTTAATGAATGGTGTTGCTATTGGCACCCCTTTAATTTTAGATTTGGATTTCATTAACCTACCGACTTAACGAAACTTTTTATACCGAACAACACCAAGAACACATTTTAATATTCAACCCCACAATCTATTTTGAATAAATTTACAATTAAAAAGAAACTAAAAAACCGTTTCAAAACCAATGCATTAAATGTAACATAATGATTTGATAATACTCTCTGCAACGCTCATCTTACTATTTTGGTTTTTATTGGTGTGTATTAATATCGTTATTTGTACTTTAATTTTATCAATGCTCTTCCAATACTTTTAACCTAGTTTCATTCTCATGTGCCTGTAGGTTGTTTCTTTTTTCGACAGGCTCATTCTGTCGAACCGGCGTGTCGGAACGATTTGGAGGGGTTTGTCCTCCTACGTTCCTAGGGGCTCTTAAGAAGTCTCCTATTCGGGTCATCTGAGTTGCCAGTTGTTGTTAACTCTGGGTCGAATCTTGTATTAAAGGTCTTAGAATGGTGCCAATTTGTTGGGTTAACATATGTACCATCTCGTGATTGCTTTCACCCATCTGCTGTCGTATGACCGCGATGGAACTAGTGGTGAAAGCTGGTATCGCGGCGGGAAGTGATCCAAAACCTGGCGGCCTTCCCCCTTGTTGGGTCATGGGGCCGGCGAGAATGATGACGAGGAATTCTCCCTCGTGCCTACTCCACCATAGCATCATGTAGACATAAATTCTGGTGGCATCCCTAACTGTTGGGGTGCCGACATGGTAAAGCTGGGCAAGCATTGCCCGTCAACTCCTGTCGTCACGGGTCTCATCTCGGGTCGACTCGGAGCCGCGAATGGTCCGCTGCAAGCGGTCGAAGAGACTATCGTCGTGGATCCGGTGCTCAGAGCCGTCCCTGGTGATAAAGCCGAATTTCCCTGCGAAGATGTTTCTTTATTTTGTCACGGTGTCACCATCTTTCCGCTACGTAACTGCATATACCTAAACCTACTGGTCCCACCGGGCGTGCTAACTTGTTCGCACATGATTTTCGCGCGGACAACCTCTGACCTCCCTCTGTAACACCCTTCTAAACCCCACGGAAAATATATGAATAATCAGAGTAAATTTTCATGCATTCACAAAAGGGCGTCACACATAACTTTCAAACATCAAAAACCACCTGTCATGCTCATTAACACTTATAATAAATAATCATGCTTCTCACAATTTCACTTTGCATGTAGCAGCAGATTCATTTTATAACATAATTCTCTTAACAGAATATTCAGATTCATCACATACTTCAACATTACTTAGGCTCCAAGGCCAACATCATAATATTCCAATGAATACAAAAACGTAACATATAGTACATAATGTATTTCAAAATATAAACCAAACAATCCCAGTGTTACATGACCAGAGTACGACTCGACCCAACATAATTAAATTACTAAACAGCTATACCAATAGCGACTTCGCAATTACAAGCAACTCTACTCTTGATACCTGCACGATGCCAGATAGGACATCATTCCAGCAGAAGGGTGAGAAATATTATCATAATAATTAATGCATATATATATATATATATATATATATATATATATATATATATATATATATATATATATATATATATATATATATATATATATATATATATATATATATATATATATATATATATATATATATATATATATATATATATATATATATATATATATATATATATATATATATATATATATATATATATATATATATATACAAGCATAAAATACACACATTCCGCATTTCTCACCACAAGTCATCCATATACGTCACAAGGTATATACAATATATATGGATAATCACCAAACATATTTCCTCATACATACATCCACAATTTCAATCAATTCACCTAAACATACACATTATGTTTAATTCACCATAATTCATATAAACATATACAATCATATTTATTCATTAATTCCTCAGTCAATATCATTCACAATTACACATTCACAATTCACATCATTGCACATAAACATTTACAATTATGTTTATTCATCACAATTCATCATAAAATATATATATACACACACACATATATATAACACCAAGCATATTTATCATGCATATATCCAAAGTTCCCAATTCAACAATTCACACACAAGCATACTTTCATATAACAATGATATCTATGCCATGTGACTCATATAAAACTCATCAATTCTCATCGATCTCCATTTGAGATTATGGGTACATCGCTTGTACCCCACCAGGAACAACATCTCGGTCATTCTACCCCGACGATCATTTCACTAGGAACGACACATAGTCATTCTACCCCAGTGAACACCAACACTAGGAACAACATCATAGTCATTCTACCCCAGTGCGTACGACTGTATCACGTATACTCCACTAGGAACAACATCTCAGTTATTCTACCCCAGGGAGCACCCTACCAGGAACAACATCTCAATTATTCTACCCCGGTGGTTATTCCACTAGGAACGACATCTTAGTCATTCTACCCCAGTGTATACGACCATGCCACTCTACCTCACTAGGAACAACATCTTGTCATTCTACCCCAGTGATTACTCCACTAGGAACAACATCTTGTTATTCTACCTCAGTGATTACTCCACTAGGAACAACATCTTGTTATTCTACCCCAGTTTTATTCTACCCCTAAAATGGAAAATGAGAAAAACTCTCCAACAATCCAAACAAATTCAACAAACACATACATAATCATACACATTGATAGAATAATAATATTTCACACCCTTACCTTGATTAATCGGAAGCTAGAAGTCGTTCTTGATGATTCCAAGCTTTCCCCTCTTTTTCCTTCTCTTTTCCCCTTTTACTCTTTCTCTTCTCTTCTCTTTCTCTTATCTATCTCTTATGTTTCTATCCTTCTCTTTCCACTTTCTCTTATATATCTTTCCCTTCTATTTCTCTTCAATATATTTCTTCTCTCAAAATATCTACTAATTCCTTTAAATAATCATCCAATAATTTCAATAAATCAATTAATTAACATAAACAATTAATTAATGAAATTTGGGCTGTTACAACCCTCCCCAACTTTAGGAATTTTCGTCCTCGAAAATCTTATCTGATTCAAACAACCCTGGATACGACTCTCGCATCCCAATCTCCCAAATCCAACTTTCTCCCAAACTACCTCCACCAAAGGAATCCCTTTACTTCGAAGTTGCTTCTCGTTCATCAACCTGAACAAGCAATGCCTCAATAGTCAA